AAGGGTAGCCTTGAGGCCACATGTGGTCCCCTAGGTCGTTGGATGTGGCCTCTGGACTGAGTCCAAGATTTACAAAACAAATCCTTTTATTAAGGGGATTTGTTCTATGAAGTTTGGATTCTGTCAAAGGGCTGCACTTGAGGACCTAGAGGGCTACGTGTGGCCTTAAGGTCGCAGGTTCCCCACCCCTGCCCTAGAAAGTCTCTTCTAGTCTCAGTCTCAGTCTGTGCTTTTAGGACAGGCTGACCAAAGAGGGCAGCAATTTAGATATCTTTAACCAAGGACTTCCTGGAAAACCTGATTCATTAACTTCTTCACCTTGAAAGGTCTTGAATATTTAATTACCTTCCTTAAAGTCTTGAACACTCAAGCAAATTAATTCACCAGTTGGAAACGCCCAATCTAATATACCTGACCCTATTAACAACTCTGTTTTCTAAGGGTCAGGCTATTTCTCATCTCTCTATAGTGTGGCCAGAAGAATTGGTTTCAAGGCCCAGCTCTGCCTTTTATCAGCCATAGGACTGGGCAGGTAACTTCATCTTTCAGAATCTGTGAAATGGGGTTAACACCGCTCGCACTACCCATCTCATGGTGTTGCTTCAGGAATCACATGTGAGAATGGATATGAAGTGGCCTGGAAAGTGGAAAATGCTAATGAAGATCAAATTGCTGTTATTAGTGGTTAGAGGGTCAACCAGAGAATTGGGAAGACTGAAGTGCAAATCTTTCCTTTGATACCTACTGGCTGTGGGACCCCTAGACAACATGCTTAATGTCCCAGGGTAGACAATTCTCTCAAGACTGACTCTCTCTCTCTATGTCTGTCTCTCTCTGTTTCTTTGTCTCTTTCTCCCTTTCTCCTCTCTCTCTCCCTGTCTCCCCCCCTTTCTCTCCATCTCTGTCTCTCTCTGTCTCACTCTTTCTCCCTCCCCCCTGCAAGATAATATGTATGTGTGTATAAATGTGTATATACTTGTGTGTTTATGTATATGTATGCATTTACACATTTTATACATGGGGAGAGAGAGAGAGCAGAGAAATCATTAAACTTGCTTTAGAGGAAGGAGTTTCTCCATCAGGGAGTTCCCTGTGTCAGTACAATCACAGATCCTATCCCTATTATCATTATTATTATTTCATTCATCTCACTTTGTTCAATGAAGATCAAATAGAAACAATCATAGAACAAATCACTAACCTGATATAATTTTTATGTATTTAACATTATGTAGCCTATATAACAGCGTATTTTTATAGTCAAATAAAAATGCTAAGATGTAAGCTCATCTCTCTGTAGGGTCTCTGAAAGCATCCTTGAGACAACTGCATCAGCAGACAGGGCAACCAGGATGATACGTGTCTTGTCTTAGCTGGTTTCTTAAAGTTGCTATTTCTTCTGCCAGGTCTGTGTATTTTTGGAAAGCTTTTTGTTCTGTGTAGCTTGGAGATGATGAGTATTTGGTATGACAACATCTATTAAATGTTGTTCACGTGGATTTTTCCCCTGGTGATTATTGGCAACAGTTCAGTCTGAAATAATGCACTAGTGAGTTCTGGAGCTTGTTGTTTGAGATCTTCATGCAGTATATTTTGAGGTCTGTATTTGTGATATATCAGAGCTGAGGTTGAATTTGAACTCAAGCCTTCTTGACTCCAGGTCTCTCTCCCTGGCGTCACCTAGCTGCCACCAGCATGCCATAGACTTGGAAACTGCTAGAATTTTTCAGACATGAAACCACTAAAAGTTACCTTTCTCTTCTTTTCTTTGCAGATATGGGGTATGGAATATTACATAAACTATCAAGCTTAGTTGACATACTCGTTGATTTTTATTAAACCTTTTTTCCTCTTTCTGTTTTGTTACGAGCTCAGTAGGTAAGACATGGAGGAGACATATATTTAGAAATGAAGGTGATGTAAAGATAAAAGATGTCAATAAGGCTTTAAAAAAAAATCTTTCACTCTTGGCTTCCTGTTAGTTAATAAGTCAGAGATGGAGGAGCACAGAAGGACCATTGAACTGGAAACCAGAAAGTCAAAGGACTGGTCAGTTCACTACCTAGCTGTGACCTTGCCCAGAGTGACCTCTGTTATCTGAGCCACCACTTTCAAATGAAAGGAGCAGAGCAGGTGGTTTTTAAGGGCCCTCTCATCTCTAACATGCTGTAGATATTCCAAGATCTCTCCTAACTCTGACATTCTGTATCTTAAGTCCCTCCCAGCTCTGCCATTCTAGGATGTTTTTTTAAGTACATTTATTTATTTTTACACATATTTACAATAAAACCCTCATCCTAAACATGCCTAATCCAGCAAAATAAATGCCCATATTGACCATGGCCGAAAACATGCCTCACTCGACACCTTGATGTCATCATCTTTCTGGCAGGAGGTGAGGGGAATAGTCCATCTTCAGTCTTCTGGACTTATGGTTTGTCATTGCGTTGCTCAGAGTTCTAAAATCTTTTCAAGTTACTTTTCTCCATAATGTTGTCATAATTGTATAAATTGTTCTCTTAATTCTATTCCCTTTACTCTGCATCAGATCATAGAAATCTTCCTTGTTTCCCCTGAAACTATATAATTTCTTATGGCACAGTAGTATTCCTTTATTTTTTTTGTTTTTTTGGCTAGGCAATGAGGTTAAGTGACTTGCCCAGGGTCACACAGTTAGTTAAGTGTCAAGTATCTGAGGCTGGATTTGAACTCAGGTCCTCCTGACTCCAGGGCCAGTGCTCTCTCTACTGCGCCACCTACCTGTCCCTATTCCTTTACATTTATATTTCATCACTTGTTAAGCTTTTCCCCAGCAGGGAAGGGGCAACCCCTTAGATTCTAATTTTGGGTTTCCATGAAATCTGACATTCTATATTCTAAGGTCCTCCCCAGCCCTGACATTTGTTGTTCCAGAATCTCCCCAAGCTTGATATTCTGTGTCTTAAGGTTCCCTGCTCCTGACATTCTATAGCCATGATATGATGTCATCCATCCTTTTTTTTTTATTACAGATTATCATTTCTTCCCCACTCTTGATGTCACACACTTGTGTGGCTCTGGCTACTCAGCAAAGTCAGAAAACTGCTTTCTCTGATTGACAGATTATGGATGATCTAAGCCTCTTTGCTTAGCCTGTGGGTCATCTGTGGGGAATGAGACCATCTAAGTACAGGTGTCTTGCCTTACAGAACTATTTGCTTAATTTGTCCTTTCTGCTGCCACACTCTACCCAAAGGGATCCCCCTCCCCATTCAGTTGCCATTCTGACTCACTGATTGCATATTTTCTGAGGTCCCTGTCCCCAGCCCCTCCCACACACTGGTTGAAAGATCCCTCATTGTTTTTCTGAAACAGAATTCTCCATCCCTGTGACCTGTGATCTGTCTGGATGTGATCTGAACCTCGCCATGAGATGGGATTCTGAGTCCCTGGTTTGCAAGGACCTGGGACTTGGGGACAAAAGTGTTTGTGGGTTGAAACTTGGCAGGTCTCAGGTCCCTGTGAATTCCTCCTTTGTGTGAATGTAGAGCAGCCAATTTCTTTCCAACTGAATACAAGGGGTATCATTCCCAATTATGCAGCCTGGCAGGCAGAGGTGTGTTTAATAGAACAGTTAAAAAGTCTCTTTGTTATAAGAGCTGATAGTGTTGCCAGACACCTAGCTCTGTGCTCATCTCCAGGATGCCCGGGTGTTTTAGAAACCAGTTTCCAGTGTCAGGAATAAATCTGGTCTACAGTGGAGAAAGGACTGAACTGAGAGGAAGGAGAGTCTGGGTCCCAGTGTATGCTGTGATGTGTTAGTCTGGTACAAACTAAAAACTCTGAATTGGAAGCCAGAGGACCTGGATTCGAATCCTGAATCTGTCACGACCTGTGTAACTTTTGACAAGTTGCTTCTTTGCGTCCCTGCGTCTGTAAAATGAGGGGGCTGGTCTTGGTGACCTTAAAGGCCTCCTCCAGCTCTAAATCTGTGATCTTAATTTACTTCATATCTTGGGGTCTCAGTTTCCTCATCTGTAACATTAGGTGTTTGGACTTGATGACTTTAAAGTCCTTTACAACTCTAAACCTATGATCTTACCATCCTATGAAAGTATTTTTCATGCTCTGAGCCTTCATTTTCTCATGTAAAATGAGAGAGAGTATTGGATTTGGAAAATCTAGCTTACTGCCTGTGTGATAGGGTCTCCCCATGCCTCAGTTTCCTTGTATGGCAATTTCCCAAGACCTTCCCCACCCAAAACAGTCTCTCTTTTCTTTTTTTTTTTTAATTTTTTTTCAGTCTCTCTTTTCTGATGGGCTCTTCTGAGCTCCCCTCCATTGTTCTCCGTTCTAAGGGCCAGCTTTAGACACTCTAGAAGTTTTTCAGGTTCGGATCCAGACCCTGTGCTGAATGTGTTGCCTGGGCATGACCCCAGGCCTGCGTTTTCTCACCCTAGGAAAGCTTTCACTGTTCTCTGTTTCCAGGAGATGTTAATGCAAGACCAGGTTGCAAAAATCCAGTAAAAGTGGGGGACTGGAATACCCAACAGGGCGAACTTTAACCGCTTTCTCTGCCGTGTTCCCATTCTGGGGGATGTCATACTTTCCCGGGGAATGTTCACAGTCTGTGTCTCACCACTTGGGATTCTGGTTCTTGGCCCTTGGATGGGCGATAGTGGGGTTTGTATTTATTCTGGGCACTTGGCCTAGGGTGTTTTATGATCATATTTGCATACAGTTACATGATTTGTATATTGGGATCTCTGGGTGAGCCTGATCCTTTTTTTTCTTAGGGCCCCTTAACCACCTGGGCCAAAAATCACTGTTTCCCCTTTCACTGTGCACCCCACAGCCCTGCCCTGTACCAGCCTTTCCTACTGCATTCATCATTTACTACATCTGAGATAATGCTGGTAGAGCACCAGGCAAAGAACAGCCTCTTAATATGCTTTTAAACACTTAAGATGGAGCTCCTCATCCCTTGACTAAGACATCTGGTTCTGTGTGCTTTATTGCAGGCGAATCTTGAACCCAAGACTTTAGCATGAAGGGCTGTTGGCAGGTGTCCCCTGAATCTCTTCTGGTGACATCTGGTAGGTATCAGGCTCTGTTGGGCAACATTTTGCACTTTGACTGGGTCACAGAGTGTAAGCAGGGAGAAATATTCATGTTTTTGCCCATTAATATCCCTAATACTTAACACAGTGCCCAGAACATAGTAAGAGGGGAAGGGAACAAGCATTTATTAAGTGCTTACTATATGCCTGGCACTGTTCTGAGCACTTTACAGATATTTTCGTTTGATCCTTATGACAACCTGGGAGATGTGTTATTATGATCATTGTATTAGAGTTGAGGAAACTGAGGCAGACAGTGGTTAAGTGACTTGACCAGGGTCAGACAGCTCATAAGTATCTGAGACTGAATTTGAACTCAGGTCTTCCCAACTCCATATCCAGTGCTTTGTGCACTATGGTGCCACCTCATGCTTAATAAATGCTTATTGATTAATTGGCTCAGAGGATTATAGATGCAGAGCTGGAAAGGATCTGAGAGTAAAGGATGTGACCATCTAATCCAACCTCCTTATTTTATAGAGAAGGAGAATGAGGCCTAGGGAGGTCCTAAGTACAAGTTGCAGAGCTGAAATTTGAACTCAGGTCCCCTGGTTTCAAAGCCAGTCCTCATCCTACTGTCTCACACTGCCTCCCACAAGTCTATAATGATGATGAGAGCTGAGGCAGTGGGATATGGTGAATATCCCAGAGCCTGCCTGGGAGTTGGGAAGACTTGAGTTCAAATCCAGCCTCTGAACACATACAGGCTCTGTGACCTTGGACAAGTCACTCTTAGTGACCTAGGAAACTCTTACAGACAATGTGGAGAGGTGGAGCCAAGATGGCAGAGTAAAGGCAGGGCCTCACCTGAGCTCTCCTTCAAACTCCTCCAAATAACCTTTAAATAATGACGCTAAACAAATTCTAGAGCAGCAGAACCCACAAAAAGATGGAGTGAAACAAATTTCCAGCCCAAGATAACTTGGCAGGTCAGCAGGAAAGGTCTGTTGCCCCGGGGTGAGAGAGGAGCATAGTCCATCTAAGCCCCCACTAAACCAGGAGCAGACATCGGGGTGACTGAATCATTGGCAGCAATGGCAGTTTCCAGACCTTTTAGGCCACAGATGATGAGGAGATAAGACAACAGGTCAGAAGAAGATTGACAGGGGTCCCTTTGTTGTACCAGGGGCAGGACTCTATTGCATTGCCTATACTTGGATCTGGGGTGCAGTCCTGGGACTTAGTCCCAGTGTGAGGAGGAGCACTAGCATGGCAGAGCTTATGGCCACAGTCACAGTGCCAGAGTTGTGGTCACCCACAAACCAGTGCACAGTACAGGAGAGTAGTAAACACACCTCTCCCTAGATCATACCGCCTTGGAAGAGCCAAAAACTTGCAGGTCCCCAGAATTATCTCTTAAAACAGCTGCACAAAAAAAAATACTAAAGCTTGGGACAGTGCCCCCTCCACTTGGGAAGCAGAGCCCCACTTTAGCATGGAGTTAAAAGTCAAGAAATAGGCTGGAAAATGAGCAAACAACAGGAAAAAAGTCTGACCATAGAAAGTTACTATGGTGACAAGAAAGATCAAAATACATACTCAGAAGAAGACAACAAAGTCAAAATGTTGCATCCAAAACCTCAAAGAAAAATATGAATTGGTCTCAGGCCATGGAAGAGCTAAAAAAGGATTTTAAAAATCAAGTAAGAGGTAGAGGAAAAATTGGGAAGAGAAATGAGAGTGATGCAAGAAAATAATGAAAAAAAGAGTCAACAGCTTGGTAAAGCAGGCACACAAAAAAAAATACTGAAGAAAATAACACCTTCAAAAACAGAATAAGCCAAATGGTAAAATAGGCACAAAAATTCGCTGAAGAGAAGAACTCCTAAAAAAAAGTAGAATTGGCCAAAGAGAAAAGGAGGTACAAAAGCTCACTGAAGAAAATAATTCCTTAAAAGTTAGAATTGGGCAAATGGAAGCCAATGACTTTATCAGTCACCAAAAAAACAATCAAACAGGGGCAGCTAGGTGATGCTGTGGATAGAGCACTGGCCCTGAAGTCAGGAGGACCTGAGTTCAAATCTGGCCTCAGACCAAACACTTGACACTAGCTGTGTGACCTGGGCAAGTCACTTAACCCCAATTGCCTAAAAAACCTAAAAAAAAAAACCTAAAAAAAAAAAAAACAAACAAAATCAAAGGAATGAAAAAAAAAGAAGAAAATGTAAAATATCTCGTTGGAAAAACAACTGACCTAGAAAATAGATTCAGGAGAGATAATTTAAGAATTATTGGACTACCTGAAAGTCATGATCAAAAAAAGAGCCTAGACATCATTTTTCAAGAAATTATCAAGGAAAACTGCCCCGATATTCTAGAACTAGAGGGCAAAATAGAAATTGAAAGAATCCACTGAACATCTCCTGAAAGAGATCCCAAAATGCCAGGAATATTACAGCCAAATTCCAGACCTCCCAGATCAAGGAGAAAATACTCCAAGCAGCCAAAAAGAAACAATTCAGATATCATGGAGCCACAGTCAGGATAACACAAGATGTAGCAGCTTCTACATTAAAGGATTGAAGAGCTTGGAATCTGGTATTCCAGAGGTCACAAGAGCTAGGATTACAACCAAGAATCACCTACCCAGCAATACTTGAGTATAATCCTTGGGGGGAGGGGGGGAATGGGAATTCAATGAAATAGAGGAGTTTCAAGCATTCCTGATGAAAGACCAGAGCTAAATAGAAAATCTGACTTTCCAATACTAGATGCAAGAGAAGCATAAAAAAGTAAACAGGAAAGAGAGATCATGAGGGGATTCTATAAGATTAAACTCTTTATATTCCTACATGGGAAAATGATATTTATAACTTCTAAAAATTTCTCATTATTAGGACAGTTAGAAGGAGTATGCACAGACAGAAAGCCAAGGTGAGTTGAATGTGATGGGATGATTATCTAAAAAAAATAAAATTAAGGTGTGAGAAAGAAGAATATACTGGGAGAAGGGAAAAGAGAGAGATAGAATGGGATAAATTATCCAACATAAAAGAGGCTTGAAAGTGATTTTACAGGGAAGGGGAGCACATGAACCTTGCTCTCAGCCAAACTGACTCAAAGAAGGAATACACACTCAGTTGGGTGTAGAAATCCATCTTACCATACAGGAAAGTAGGGAGGGAAGGGGATAAGTGAAAGGGTGGAGGGGAGGAGTTGATAGAAGGGAGGGCAGTTTGGAGGAGGTAAAAGTCAAGAGCAAAACACTTTGAGGAGAATGGACAGGTAAAAGGAGAGAGTAGGATAAACAGGGAGAATATAGAATGGAGGGAAATACATTGTTGGTAATCATTACTATAAAAAAAATTTTTTTACAATGAGCTTCTCTGATAAAGACTTCATTTCTCAAACACAGAAAACTGAGTCAAATTTACAGAAATAAAAGCCATTTCTCAATTGATAAATGGTCAAAGGATATGAACAGGCAGTTTTCAGACAAAGTAATCAAAGCTATCTATAGTCATATAAAAAAATGTTCTAAATCACTATTGATGAAAGAAATGCAAATTAAAACAACTCTGAGCTACTACCTCACACCTGTCAGGTTGACTAATATGACAAAAAATGACAAATATTGGAGGGAACGTGGGAAAATTAAAACACTAATGCACTGTTGGTGAAGTTGTATGCTGATTCAACCATTCTGGAGAGCAATTTGGAACTATGCCCAAAGGGCTATAAAACCACGAATACCCTTTGACCAAGCAATACCATTACTAGGTCTGTATCCCAAAGAGATAAAAAACAAAAAGTAAAAGGAACTACGTGTACAAAAATATTTATATCAGCTCTTTCAGTGGCAGCAAAGAATTGGAAATTGAGGGGATGTCCATCAATTGGAGAATGGCTGAACAAGTTGTGGTATATTGTTGTGATGGAATATTATTGTGCTTTAAGAAATGATGAGCAGGATACTCTCTGAAAAATCTGGAAAGACACAAACTGAAGCAAAGTGAAATGAGTAGAACCAGGAGAACATTGTACACAGTAACAGCAATATTGTATGATGATCTACTATGAATAGCTTAGCTATTCTCAGCAATACAACAATCTAAAACAATTCTGTAGGGCTTATGATGAAAGGTGCTGTCCATCTCCAGAGAAAGAACTGGTAGGGCCTGAATGCAGATCAAAGTTACTTTTCCTTTATTTTCTTGTTTTCTTCAGTGTTTTCTTTCACAGAATGACTTGCATGGAACTGCGTTTTGCATGACTACACATGCATAACCTCTGTCAAATTGCTTGCCTTCTCAATGAAGGGGACGAGAGGAGATTTGGAGAAATTTTGGTACTCAAAATTTGAAAAGAAAAGAATGTTAAAAATTGTTTTTACATGTAAAAAAATATTAAATAAGAATTTTGTTTAAAAAGATGATGTTAGTAAGTTTAGATGTCCAATAACAGAGAGAGTTTCCTAAACCAAAGAAATCCTAGCTCTGTTCCCCTCCTCCCCACAAAAGCTGACATGTATATCATTCATTAAGGTTTGCAAAAGGTTTTGTATTCATTCTCTCATTTGAACTACAGTCCTATGAGGTAAGTATTATCCCCACTTTAGAGATAAAGAAACTGAGTCTGAAAGAAGTGGAATTGCCCAAGGTCATATAACTAGCAAGTGTTTTGTTGTTCAGTCACTCTATGTGACCCATTTGGGGTTTTCTTGGCAAAGACACTAGAGTGGTTTTCCATTTCCTTCTCCAGCTCATTTCACAGATGAGGCAAACAGGGTTAAGTGACTTGATCAGGGTCACACAGCTAGAAAGCGTCTGAGGCCCAGATTTGAATTTGGGAAGATGAGTCTTCCTGACTCCAGGCCCAGCGTTCTAACCACTGCAACCACCTCGCTTCATCTGGCAAGTATCTGAAGTATAATTTAAGTCTAAGACTTCCTGACTCCAATTCCGTGCTATCCATTATGCCATACTGCCTCTGAGAGTGAAGAGAAAGTTTGGTGTAGTGAAAGTCCTGGGTCCAGG